CAATTGCATTGGAAAATTGGGTATTGGAATTTGACTACATAGTTAATGTTACGCGATTAATTTCATCATACACCTAGTTGAAATCCTTTTCACAGTGGAATCAACTTTCTTTGTTGAAATATTTATATTCAACTAATAATACATTATCAATTAATTTAAATTAAATTATAATTTGGACTGAGTCTAGTTGATACCTCCAAGATCTTGCTTAAATCGGTAACAGGCTGATCTATTAAATCTTGTTTAAGACTTACTATTTAAAAAATGAAAGTAACGGAGGTTTACAACCAGAAGTTATGAGAGCTTGTCTCCAATCCATTCATGCTGGTATAATTTCAGTGAATCGATATTCATGATAAGATCATGAATTAGCAAAAAAGTAAAATTTTGCATTGTGGATGGCACTTCTCCAAGCAAGCTATTGTTACGGGGTTTAGTGACATAGAAGACATAGATCCCAATGATCTAGGAATTTTTCCTGTTAGATGATTGTTGTTTCCTAAATTTACGATTCTCAACATTTGCCAATTGTCCCCACAATATCAAATTGTAGCCACTCGGGATATTGAGTGCCTAGATGTCAATTACGCCATTTAATACGTTCACACATAGAAAAGGATAGAACAACAAAATTGACAGGGAAGTCAAGTCAACAAAATTTATGGAGTAAGTCCCACGACTAGCATATTAGGCTTGGAAAAGAGAAAAAAAAAAAAAAACAAAATATTAAAATTTTAGAAAAAAACAAATTATTACATAACATTTAGTTATTCAAAAATTATAAATCATTCCATAATAATTGTAAACACCATTTTTTTATTATTATTATTATTATTTATTTATTTATTTAATTTTTTTTTCTCTTTCTTTTTCTTCTTCTCTTTTTTTTTTTTTTCCGTTTTCTGCATTTGTCTTCTTCTTCCTTTCTTTTTCCTTCTTCTTCATCCTTATCCGATTCAAATCTAGTGCATTAAATGCACAATCCCTAAAGTCCAAAATCACTGCCGCTAGTCGTCAACGGTCGACCGACAAGCTGCAAATCATGAACAACAGGCGTGATTTTTCAGTTGAAAAATGAGATTGGAATCCCAGAAGATCTGGGATTTGAATCCCAACAAGCTCTATAAATAGAGCTTGTTATTTGCAAACAGAGGACCGGAGGGAGAATCGAAAAAGAACAAAAAAAAGAAAGCTTCTGTAAAAAAAAAATCTACAAAAACACAAAAAAAAAAAATAACAGTCCCCTAGAACGGGGAACCCAGCGCCAAAAAGCCACCTAAAAAAAAAAGAGAGAGATCAATTGATTCTGTCTAGAAAAAAAAAAACAAAAAAAAGGAGACCGAAACTTTGAGCCCCGATTTACGTCGATCGGGGCTGTTTTCGATAAAAAGGACATCGGATCTGAAAAGTTCGCGTCGAATAGAACTTTTAGAAGAATTTTCACATTTTTCATATATGATAGGATATGTGATAGGCAATAACTTTCTTTTAATCTACCACCTAGCTTGCTCTCTTATTTCATGATCAAAAAATAGAAGAATAATGGAATTTGATATACAAATCAATATTATAACAAAAACTTACAAAAAAGTATAAAATAATATGTGCAAATATATTTATAAATTAAACTGCGATAGAACCAATAGTAATAACCAAAACATAAAAAAAAAAATTCCAAATCATTAAATTTTCAAGAAATTTTGCTTAATTTTCTTGAAACCCAAATAGATTATTTTTAAGGGAATGTACTTTCAAAATGATTTTTTTTTTTCAAAATATAAGTATATATGATTATGATGAAACATAATTTATTGTAAGATTACAATGAAGTATGAATTTGAAAGAGTTTCACTCAAAATAAAAAAAAATAAAAAAAGAATGGTAACTAAAATAATACAAAACCAAACATAAAGTAATACAAAATTTAAGAAGTAATTGATTACATTAAATTTTGTGCATCTAATTCACCTGCATATATAACATCACATAAAATTGTGCATATAATCCACGTCCATAGATAACATCACAAAGAAAAAAAAAACAAGAATCTAAGTTATTTTTACTATGTGGCAAAAGGAATATCAAGACAATGAGAAAAAATTATTGAAATGATACAATCTATTTCTTAAGCATCTCAAAACACCCTTACTTATAGGATGGATCTTGCTGTCTTAGAAATAGTTATGAAATTATTTGTAATTTTTAAAAGACTAATTGATTAAAATAAATTTAAAAACCAAATCAAGATCAATAATAATATTTTAATTGGGAGTAATTTATACTTGACAATTATAATAATCAAACATAATGTGTATTAACTTGTTTGGGAGAAATGGAAAAGGATAGATTTTGAAATTAATATAATAATAGTAATGAAATTCATTTGCTATTATATATACCAAAATTAATTTTAATTGATTTAATCAACTATTAATTATTTTAAATTAATATATATATATATACATATTAAACATATATATATATATATATATAACATAGTTTAAATGGTGGAGTAAATAAATAGGTTATAAGTTAAAAGATTGGCAACTAAATTTTTTTGTATACAAATGTAATTTAAAAGTTAAATACTTACAATTAGAAAAGGATGTGACAAAATTATTTTATGATGGTGATAATTAAAGTTTTATTACTTTTAATATGAATTTAATTAAGAGTGATTTCAAATGAATAATAAAACATAAATATAATTAATTTATTAAAAGATACATAATAATTTTATAAAATTGCCTACATGTTAATTATATAAACTATTCGCATTAAATAATTTTCTTTTTTTGTTCAAAAGTTTTAATTTTTATATATTTCTATACAAAAGATGCGGGAATTCCCATCATAGAAGCAACTGCTGATGGCTGCAAAGACAAGAAATCCAAATATGGAAATTGTAACTACTCTCATGGTTGCAATGGACATTGTAGCAAATTAACACCGATTATCGAATAGTCAATTAAACAAAAAAATGATAATAACCAATTTATCCTTCCAAGCAAATACTTGCATTCCCTTTTTTACATCACACACGAGGAACTTTCCGAGGTCTCAAATTTCTAGCTTGCATTTTCCGCAAAAACGTTAAAAGTCTTGAAAATAATTTTCGCAGATCCATAAAAAGTCATAATTGCATTGGAAAACTGGGTATTGGAATTTGACTACATAATTAATGTTACGTCAATTTCATCATACACCTAAGTGAAGTCTTTTGCATAGTGAGATAATGACTTTCTTTGTTGAAACATTTGTATTCAACTAAAAGTACACCATCAATTAATTTAAAATAAATTACAAAAAATATTTATTGATTGGATTGAGTCTGGTTGTACGTCTAAAGCCTTGCTTAAATCTATATTAGGCTGATTAATTAAAGCTTATTTAGGTCTATTATTATTTAAATATGAAAGTAACGGAGATTTAGAATCAATAGTTGTGACAGCTTGTTTCCAATCCATGCATATTGGTATACTTGCAGTGAATCGATTTTCATTATAAGATCATGAGTTAGCCAAAAAAAAAAAGTAAAATTTTGCATTGTGGATGGCAATTCTCTTAGCAAGCTACTGTTACGGAGGTTTAGTGACATACGAGGCATAGATCCCAATGATCTAGGAATTTTTCCTGTTAGATGATTGTTGTTTACTAAATTTAAGATTCTCAACATTTGCCAATTGTCCCAACAATATGAAATTGTAGCCACTCGGGATATTGAGTGCCTAGATGTCAATTACGCAATTTAATACGTTCACATATAAGAAAAGGATAGAACAAAAAAAACTGACAGGAAAGTCAAATCAACAAAATTTATGAAGTAAGTCCCCCGACCAGCCTATTAGGCTTGGAAAAGAGGAAAAAAAGAAAAAGAAAAACAAAATATTAAAAATTTAGAAAAAAAATAAATTATTACATAACATTTAAAGAAGTTAAGATTCTTTTCGCTTATTATTTTTGGTATCGTTATTTTTTTTTTGTTGAATCAAATTTTGCTATATATGTTTGGTTAAAATTATGTAAATTCTTGAAAAAAGAATAATAATTCAAATATGAATTTCTTTTATATAAATGAGATAAAGCTTGAAAATAGAAGAATGATTATAGATAAAAAGATTTAAAATTTAAATTAATTATGTAATATTTTAAAAAAATAATTATACGATTTAATTGAATTAAATTTTAAATTTAATTATTTATAATAATTTATGTATGTGTTCTATAAATGAAAGTAAAATGTTTAATTTTCTAATTTTCAATGCCTTTTCAAGCCTTACTCAAAAAAAAAAAAAAAAAAATCTTTCGTAGCGTTTTATTTTGGCCAATGAAAATCTTTCGTAGTTGACACAATCTATTTTTAATTTTTTTTGAAAAGCAAAAGGGTGCGGAGTAACAACTAAAATATAGTGAAAATATCTGAAACCCCCTAGTGAACCAAGGAATTCTGAAAATCTCATGTAACTAATGATGGTGCCTACTTAATTTTTGCCCAATAAAAACTCAATTAAATTAAAATAAAAAGTTTGAAGAATCAATTAATTGCAATAAAATAATAACAGTCTGAATGATTATTTTATTTTAATTCAGTCATTTTTTTACTCTTCAATCAAAAAGATCAATTGATATATATACTCTATAATTATTAAACAAAATTAAAGTGACCAGATGTCTTGGATGATCAATTGTAACATTAGATTCTTCTGTAGAAGTGAATACTATAAGGAGTCATACATAAATCTTTTATTTAATAATAGAACTTAATGATTATTATTTGTGAACAAAAGAGCAAAGAACAAAAAAGACAACTGAGTAAAAGGCAAAAGGATGAAGCACATGCCGATCCGGCCTCATTAAAACACACTTACTTTGTAAAACAAAGAAGCCCAAAACTTGTTGTTGGGCTCCCATTCTACCTATTGACTCACAGGACTGTTGAGCAATTCCTTCAAGATTTAAACGGATGATGGGGCGTAAAACTCGCACTCCCCATATATTTCTCAAAATCTGTCCCGAAAGGCAGAAAGCTTAAGACGAATGCTTTCCACCTTTTCATAGTAAGCCAATCCCCAAGATCTGATGAAATACAAAGGAGCTACTACACCCCAAAACCCCACCACAAATCCAATCACCACACTTACATAAATCCCATACTTTTCAAACCACCCTTCACTTTCTTCAACATGACTGCCTTCATTTGTAGCATTAGGTGGTGTTTCAACATTCGTGCTGCAGTCTTCAGTGACGGGAGGGCCACATAGGTGATTGCCAATGTAAGAGAACTTGTCAAAACTTTGGAGTTGGGTGCTTGATGGTATTCTTCCCGTCAAATTGTTGTAAGACAAGTTCAAATGACTCAAGAAATTCAAGTTGGAGAAGCTGACAGGGATTGGACCATGAAAATGGTTCCTGGAGAAATCGAGAGATTCTAATAACCTCATGTTGCCAATGTGATCAGGGATCTTTCCTTTCAAGGAATTTCCTGATAAGTTTAACGATTGCAACCCTTCGAGACTGGCTAGTTCTTTGGGGATGTCTCCAATGAGATTGTTGTATGACAGGTCCATGGTGGTAACAAGTGATAGTGTGGTGCTGTATTCGTCCACTCTTCCTTTCATCACCAATAATTCACTCCTTATGAATTCCCCATCCACGAAATAGTCAATGACAGCATCAGTGTCATATGGTTTTGTGACCATGGCACTTAGATTCTTAAAGCATTTTGGTATGGCACCAGAGATTTTGTTATCCCCAAGGTCTAAGATTTGAAGGGAACTGAGCTGACAAAGTTCCTCAGGGATATGGCCATCAAAAGAGTTTGAACGCAAACTTAGAATCACAAGATTTGGGAGACTTTCACCAATCCATTTTGGGATGCTTCCGCCGAATTGGTTTTCACCAACATCAAGCATAAACAAGTGTCTATTATTTTGCAAGGTCAATGGTAGCTCCCCGGACAGCTTATTGTTTCTAAGATTTAGAAACATAAAAACCAAGGATCCCAAAGAGTCCGGAATCTTCCCAGTCAGATTATTGTTTGCCATATTTAGAACATGGATGCCCCGCCACTTCAACCAACAATCTGGAATTTCTCCTGACAGAAGATTTGTTTCAAGTTGAAGAAGAAATAATTTTGGTTTACCTAATTTGTAGTCACATAAAAAATGTGAAAGAGACCCAGAAAACGAATTGTTAGTGAAAAACAATGTCGCCACATCAGGGAGCACTCCTGGCAATGGACCTGTGAACCGGTTGGATCTCAAATCAACCAATTTATGCACTGGCAAAAATGGGATCTCCCCTTCAAGTCCATTATGAGAAATATTCAGAGACACCATTTTAGAAGTAAAGTTCCAAAACCAAGAGGGAACAACATCTGAAATTCCTGCACTGGATATGTCTAAGGTAGACAAGTCCTTCTGAAATTGAAGCCATGTTGGAAATTTTGGGCCAAGAAGCCAGTAACCCATTTCAATGGTTCGACATTGAAAAGGAGGAATCCAGTTTGAGTTTGCTTCAAATTTCAACTTGTTTTGAGATGCCCTTAAAACTCTCAATCTAGTGAGACTAGAAAAGAGCAATTCTGATACAGTACCTTCCAACAGATTGTAAGCAATGTTCATATATTCCAGACTCATGGGTTGTGCAAGACTTTGAGGAAGATTGCCATCTAATTGATTTTCTGACACATCAAAATATTTTAAAGATGACAGGTTTCCTATGGAGATTGGAATGAGACCAGAAATGGAATTTTGAGAAAGAGACAGGTAAGATAGGCTTTTGAATAGTCCAAGTTGATCATTTAAATGGCCTGAAAGATTGTTAGTTGCCATATTTAATGACTTCAAGTCATCTGAGCAGCATCTAGACAAGCTCTGCAGAATTTCTGATATCTCCTGATCAATTTTGTTATTTGACAAATCAAGTTGCCTCAAATTGAAAAGATTTTCCAAAGAGGTTGGTACTGCTCCTTCAAGCTGATTTCCTGACAAATCAAGGCTAACAATGGAACTCAAGTTTCCAATGGCACTCGAGATTCTGCCTTGTAGGAAGTTACCTCTAAGACTGAGAAATTCAAGATGGTTCAAACTATACAACCAACCAGGTATTGATGATTTGAATGAGTTTCCGGAAAGATCAAGAAATCTGAGAGATGACATGTTTGAAAACTATTGGGAATAAGACCTTCAAAGACATTTCACTCAGATCTAGGAAACAAGTTTATGAAGACTGAAAATCCACATGGGTACCGAAGGGGATATGTAGTTGTTTGAAAGATCAAGAATGGAAAGAGATGTATAGTTAACACTGATTGGTGAAGATCATTATCAAGAAAGCAAGTTGACAAACCGTAACTCTATTCAACGAAGGTAGTTGTTGGTTACCTGCAGCAATCAGTTGCTTTGCTGAGGTCCGCTCCACTCAAATCAAGATACTTCAAGGAAGAGAGACCAGAAAGCCATTGAAGATTTCTAGCTTCAACCAACCGTTAATACTATTATCTCCAAGGTTAAGATGCTCCAGCTTTGAGAGATTCCAAGTTGATGTGGAAGGGTTTCCTCCAAATTTTGCTCCAGAGAGGTCAAGATATGTTAAACTCTCCATTGAACCAAGGAATCGTGGAATCTGGATGCCACCGAAGTTGTTATAACTAAGGTCTAGGTGACTCAGTTGCTTCAATAAGAGCAAAGAAGGATTTATTTTTCCCCTTAGCATTGAGCGCCAATAAACTCCAATTTCAGCATCTGATGATGCATAATCTGGACTTGAAGGAGGCCTCAAGTCCAACTTGTAGACATGACCTGTGAAGTTGTTGCAGGAAACTCCAACCCAGTTACAGCAATCCCCACCATCACCCCAAGAAGATAGCCTGTTTGAACGATCAATGATATCGTGCTTGAACTTTAACAGGGCTTGTCTCTCACTCTCAATGCAAAGCACCCTGGAATTTCCCACACAAAAGGTAATCCCAGTAGCAACAATAGTAACAAACCCAATAAGAAATACTGTAACAGCACTCATTTTTTCCTTCATATATGACTTGAAAACTTGATACTGATATTGTCCATTTTATATTCCTCAAACTACTATTGTTTATCTATACTGAGCAGTAGGAACTCTTGAAAACTAACGCATAGAAAGTTGAATCAAAAGTTGGTAAAGATTGCCTTGACAGTGCTGCATTAGTAGGAAAATACGTGATAGCTCACTCTTGATGCTTTCACTAAATTTCAAACAAAAAATTATTCATTGATTGTCAAAGAAGTAAATATTCATGAAATGGTCAAAATCAAAGACAATACTGTGGATTTTTTTGGAAGGAGCCGCGGTAGCTTGGAATAGAAAAAAAAAATTATAGTCACGATATTTACATTTAAATGATAGATTGGATCAATTACATAAATTAATTGAATTAAAATTTGAGTTTATATAAATTAAAATTAATTTTTATTGATTAAAATTTGTTCAATTATAAAAAAAAGGGGAGTAATCTGCTTCAAAGGGTCTTTTATTTCCCACTTATTTATTATCAAAAGATTCAGAAAAGCATAAAAGAAAGAAGGAACAAACAAAAAAGTGAAGTCTACCCACCCAGTCAACGTCCAACATAATCGACAAGAAAGTGTCACACGTCTACTTTGAGATCTCATTAATTTGATTTCATTGAACTTGTTTTATACGATTCACGATCAATTAACATTCTCTTTACCCACCAAAAACAGTGCAATTTACCCCTCAAATAAGCCATGGAAAAAAAATTTATCTCTCCTATTTGGTAAAAGATTGATCCATTTTGGCCGTGTAGTTTTAAGATAGTTACAAAAGTCATGCAGCCTTGGAGAAGTTAAGATGCAATATCTTCTTTCTCAAGTGGACCAATGAACTAATTTGGATTTCTTACATTTTCTAGAATGAAATCCAATTATTGCTTTGATATGAGCGATGTTTATTATAAGTTTTTTCCTTACTTTTTAAATTTAATAAAGCTAAAATTGATTTTAAGTTGTCTTTATTAGCAAAGAGAGAAATTATTATATTTATTATAAGTTTTTCTTACTATGTATATTGTAAGTTCAATCAATCGATATAAAATATGTCATTAAGATATTTTTAGTTTTCACTAAATTAATATTAAAAAAATAATAAAATTTTTAAAGTAAAAAAAAAAGTGTGCATCAATATAATGTTATTTGCATTGCATGTATATTTTTATTTTTATAAAAAATAAATACGAGTTTTTCGAGAATGTGATTCTAAGGTATTGCAAGAAATGATGCCTTAAAAATCTCTATGCGAGAAAATTTTTTTTTAATGTTATCAACATACTGGGATATTTTAATAATTCTTTCAATAAAAGAGTTCTAATTTATTTTTCTCAAATAAAAAAATAAAAAAAATTTAAACTTCGATAAATAAAGGAAGTCAAGGAAATTATTTTTTAACACAAAAACTACGATCATTTTTTTTGTTAAAATTAAAGAATAACACTAATTAATTGAAACTATTTTAAACGGATACTGTGGGGGTGCTAATAATTTTTTATGCGTAGCCAACTCTTAGACCTAAACTATTTTACAAATCCTAAAATTATTTTTTAATAAATTTTAATTAATTTTATGATTTTATTAAAAAAATATGTTTTAATAAGTGGTCAATTGTGTCTATTCAAAAAAGAGTTGTGGTGACTTTATTATTATTATTTTTTTTATTTTCAAATTCATCAAGCGACTCTAAAACTATTAGACAATACTTTTTTGTAAGTTTTTGTTATGATATTGATTTGTATACTAAATTTCCATTATTCTTCTCCTTTTCGATCATGAAACAAGAAAGTAAGTTAGGTGGTAGATTAAAAGAAAGTGATTGCTATCACTTATCCTATCATATGTTTGAAGTATGTTTTTTTTTTTTTGTATGAAATGATTTTACTTAAGATAAGATTTTTTTTTTATGTCATTAGATATGTTTGTTGCTTTGATATTATCATTTTCATTATTTATCACAAAATGGAGCTAATTACTATCCAAATGTAGATGAAAATTTTTAAAAGTAGCTTTTGATTTATCTTATTTTCTATTTACCATAAAGTGGAGCTAATTATGTCGAAATGTAAATAAAAATTTTCATTGATTCTATTTTCATTACCGATATAATTTTAGGAGTGTTTATATATTAAATAAGAATTATTACTAACTGAAATATATTTTGTGTAATTACTCTTAATTCTAAAGTTATTGTTAATCAACCATTAGCATTTAATATTTACATTTTATTTTATTTGAAAAAGAAAAGAAAAGAAATCTACGTTTTACTTTATCTCGATAAATAAGATTCTTAGATTGTCTTAAATTATCAATGTAAAAGGATGACCATTAGAAATAACCTGCTTTATAAAATCAACTAGAATTTTGTATCCATCTCTTACATAGTTGACTATAACATGTTTAAGACCTTCTCTTACTGCATAAATCTTAGCCAACATATTGTTATGTTTGCTTTACTGTTACCCACCTTCACCCTTACGGCAAAGTCAAAAGCTTTATATCAAAAGTAAACCCTTCCTACTTAAAGATTGTTATTCTTATCGCCCAAAAACTCTACCAACTATTTTAGTTTAACCTAAAATTTTAAATTCCTATCAGTATTTTCTTAGCTGCTATTTCTCTTAATCCATTAGTTTTATTCTTATTTGGTTTATACAATTCATGTTTGTGAGTACATCTATACAATACAATGATCTCTTTTACTTTGTTTAAATACATAGTTTTCTTTTATTAAATTCTGTTTATTGATTGAAATGCTATGTTTGTTATGTTACAAAAATATTTATTTTGATTTATTAATTTCTTTATTTTAGAATCAATTAACAAATCCAATTTTTAAAGTATTAACAATTTCTCTGTCTTATTTTTTTTAATAATTTTGTTTCAAGTCTTTTGTGGTATTGATAGTTCTTACCCAACATGTATTTTTTTATGATGATTATTTTATGCTAGATGCAATTATTTTTTAGGCATTTTCTTTTAATCAACTTTTAATTTCAAATTTAATAAAAATTCAACTAATAAATAAAATAATATTGCATTGTAAATTTTTTTAATTTTTAACTTTAACTTCACGATTGTAAAAGTACCTCTTATAAGGCATAAGGTTTTGCAGTTATTAATAAATGTGGGTTTTTTTTTTTTTTTATTGAATGAAAAAAGAACATAAATTTTGAAGAATAAAAAGATTTATGACATTTACTTTTTTCCTAAGGCAATTTAATGATAAAACTCCATTTAAAATTTTTTCTATAATTATTTTTATTAAAATATTGTTTTCGTTTTTTACTTTGTTATATACTATTTTTTTAAGTTGAATTTCATATTAGCTTTTAAGTGTGATTGAATTGTTGTTACATTTTAATAGTTCAACTATTTATTTTTTATTTTTCTTTAATTTGTTGTTTTATAGCATTGATAATTAGTAAACTTTCATTAGAATTATTTATTTTTTTGGTTATAAAAAATTTAAAGTTATTGTTTAATATGCATACAATTTAAGTTTTCTCAAACTTTATATTATTACTTTTATTTTATTTTAAAAAATTATTATAAATTGAAATTTTCATTCTGTACACCGCATGGGCTTAAATCTAGTATATAGTAAAATTTGATTTAACAAAAAAAAAACCAAAAATAATAAGCAAAAAGAGTCTTAACTTCTTTAAATTTTATGTAGTAATTTACTTTTATAAATTTTTTCCTTTTCTTTTTCTCTTTTGTTAGGCCTAATGGCCGTTGGACATACTCCATGCACTTTGTTGACTTGACTTCCCTGTCAAGGGTTTTTTTTTTTTTTTTTCTTTTCACTGTCAAAGTGTTGAATTGTGTAATTGGCACTTTGTTCCGCAATTTCCTAAGTGGTTAGTGACTAGAATTCCAAATTGTGAGAAAACTGACAAATGTTGGGAATCTTAAATTTAAGAAGCAACAATCACTTAACTGCGGAACCTCTTACGTTACTAAACCTCCGTAACAATAGCTTGTTTGGAGAAGTGCCATCTACAATGCAAAATTTTTCATTTTTTTCTTATTCATGATCTTATAGTGAAAATCGATTCACTGGAAGTATACCAGCATGCATGAATTGCAGACAAGCTCTCACAACTTCTGGTTCTAAACCTCCATTACTTTCATGTTTAAACAGTAATAGACCTAAACAAGCTTTAATCAGTCGGCCCAACATAGATTTAAGCGAGGCCCAACATAGATTTAAGCAAGGTTTTAGACGTATCAATCAGACTCAGTCCAATCAATAGACATTGACTGTAATTTAATTTAAATTAGTTGGTAGTGTACTATTAGTTAAATATAAAATGTTTCAACAAAGAAAGCCATCATCCCACTGTTAAAAAGACTCCACTTAGGTTTATGATGAAATTGATCGCGTAATATTTTTTATGTAGTCAAATTCCGATACCCAATTTTCCAATGCAATTATGATTTTGTAAGGATCGGCGAAAATTTTCTGCAAGACTTTAATGCTTTTGTGGAAAATGCAAGCTAGAAATTTGCGACCTCGGAAAGTTTCTCGTATGTGATGTAGAAAAAAGAATGCAAGTATTTGCTTGGCAGGATAAATTGGTTACTATCATTGTTTTGTTGAACTTACTATTTGGTAATCGGTGTTAATTTGCTACAACCTCTATGGCAACCATGAGAGCATTTACAATTTCCGTGTTTGGATTTCTTGTCATTGCAGCCATCAGCAGTTGCTTCTGTGATGGGAATTCCAGCGTCCTTTGCATGGAAAGTGAGAGACAAGCACTTTTAAAGTTCAGGCAAGATCTGATTGATTATTCAAACAGGCTATCTTCTTGGGTTGAAGGTGAGGATTGCTGTAAATGGAATGGTGTTTTCTGTGACGACTTAACGGGCCATGTCAAGGAGTTGCACTTGGGGCTTCCTGATGAAAATTTTGATTTTTTTTCTGATGAATTTGTTGCTTACATTTGGTCCAAGCTGGGAGGCAAAATTAATCCTTCTTTGCTCGAGTTGAAGCATCTAAGTTTCCTAGATTTGAGCAATAACAACTTTGGCGGTATTCAAATTCCTGAATTCATTGGCTCACTAGGAAGTTTAACATATCTTAACCTCTCTAGATCAGGATTCCAGGGGGCAATTCCTCATAAGATTGGAAATCTCTCAAAGCTGCAATATCTTGATCTTGGATATAGCAATAATCAACAGCCGCTTGAAACTGAAAATCTCCAATGGGTTTCTGGCCTTTCTTCTTTGAAGTATCTTGACTTGAGTACTGTGTATCTTGCTACAGCTACTGATTGGCTACAGGTAACAAGCAGTCTTCCTTCTTTAGTGGAGTTACACTTGTTTCTTTGCCATCTGAATACTGCGTCATTCCCAAGCAGTCCTAATTTCACATCTCTCGTTGTTCTTGATCTTTCCGGAAATGAGTTCTCTTCAGTACCTACGTGGATATATGGTCTTCATAGCCTTGTGTCCATTGATTTTACGGGCAATTTTTTTAGAGGACCGATACCAGATGGTTTTCAAAACTTGTCTTCCCTTAAAGTTCTTGATCTTAGTTATAACTCAATCAATTCGTTGACATCTAGTTCTTTGTCTAGATTAAACAATCTTCAAGTCCTTGCTCTTCGTCATAACTACATACCAGGTCAAATTCCGAGTACCATTGGAAACTTGACCTCGCTTATTCACATTGATCTTGCAATAAATCAGATCCAAGGAATAGCACCAACCTTGTTGGAAAATCTTTGTAATTTGAGGGAGATGGATTTGTCAGATAACGAAATTGATCAGGAGGTTTCAGAAATCTTACAGGGTTTATCTAGATGCAGTTTGGACAAATTAGTGTCATTGAATATGGAAAATAACAGCCTTTCTGGCCATTTGATTGATCAACTTGGGCAATTTAAAAATCTAGTATCCCTTTTGCTTTGGAAAAACTCCATTTCTGGTCCCATTCCATTCTCGATAGGAGAGTTATCATCTTTAAAGTCTCTTGATGTTTCGAGCAATCGATTAAATGGAACTCTTCCTCAAAGTATTGGACAACTTATGAGTTTAGAAATTTTACGTTTGGAGGATAATCTGTTTGAAGGAGTTGTCTCAGAAATGCATTTTTCTAATCTCACTAGATTGAAAATTTTGCAGGCATCAAAAAACATGTTGACTTTTAAGCCGAACCCAAATTGGATTCCTCCATTTGATTGTGAAATTATTGAACTGGGTTATTGGAATCTCGGCGCACAATTTCCCCCATGGCTTCAATTCCAAAAGAATTTGGTGGCTATAGATACATCTCATGCAGGAATTTCAAATGTTATTCCCAGCTGGTTTTGGAACCTGTCCACCCAATTTTTAGAGGTAGATCTTTCCCATAACCGGCTTGTAGGGGAGATTTCATATTTGTTCAAAAGTAATGTGGTTGACTTGAGTTTCAACCAATTCCATGGTCCATTGCCACAAGTATTCCCAAATACAAAATATTTGTCATTGAGTGAGAATTCATTTTCTGGATCTCTTTCTCATTTTCTCTGTAATTTTTCAATTGAATCTTCGTTCATTCTCGAAATTAAAAATAATCTTCTGTCAGGAGAAATTCCGGATTGCTGGAAATATCTGACTAGTATTTGGGTTTTAAATTTGGGAAACAATAATTTGACTGGGAAAATTCCAAGATCATTGGGTTCTTTGAATCTTTATGCCCTAAACCTTCGTAACAATAATCTGTCTGGAGAGGTACCAGCAACATTGCAAAATTGTACTTCTTTGTCTCTTCTTGATCTCGGGGAAAATCATTTAAGTGGAAGCATACCGGTATGGCTTGGAAACAAACTCTCGCGTCTTGTGGTTCTAGGCCTCCGTTCAAATAACTTTCATGGTCATATTCCTGACCAAATATGTGCTCTTAGTTCTCTTCAGATTCTAGATCTTGGTCACAACAACATCTCAGGAGGTATTCCAAAATGTTTTAGTAATTCAAGTGCCATGGTCACAAAAAATCCAAGCAGCTCATTTTTGATACAATACCAGTTTTATGATAGAGAATTTATGGAGAGTGCATTGTTGGTGAGGAAAGGCAGAGAGTTTGAATATAGCACGACACTGAAATTTGTTACAAGCATAGACCTCTCAAGTAACGTTCTCACCGGAGAGATCCCAAGGGAACTTGGAAGTCTCAAGGGACTGCAATCATTAAATTTGTCAAGGAATCTATTGACTGGAAAAATACCAGCGAACATTGGCAACATGGGATTATTGGAATCTCTAGATTTTTCCATGAACAGACTCCTTGGTGAAATCCCTCCAAGCTTTGCCAATTTGAATTTCTTGAGTTACTTGAACTTGTCCTATAACAACTTGATAGGACAAATCCCATTGAGCACCCAACTCCAAAGCTTTGACGAGTTTTCATTTATTGGCAATCATCTTTGCGGACCTCCTATCACTAAAAACTGCACCAAAAAAGGTGTTACAAGTGGAGGCAGTGAAGGACACGTCGGACCCAAGGTGAATGGCCTTTACATCAGCATAGTGCTTGGATTTGTGATGGGGTTTTGGAGTGTAGTCGCTCCCTTGTTTTTCATGAGGTCATGGAGGTTTTCTTACTACAACAAACTGGAGCACATTGGTTGGAAGATTTACGAGTTCTGGCAACGTCCGGTATGTACATGTTAATTTGTTTGCTGTTTGTTTTTAAAATTTATTCACTCAACTGGTAGAAGCATATAATTTATTGCCAGCGAATAAGATTTGCATCAAATATAAACCCTAATATATATGTGATTGAAATTTTACACGATTAATTTAGAAAGATAACTTGATTGTCTTAATTTGGCAATGCAATAGGGACTTGTGGCGCTCTTTAATTCTGCTTGATCCATGACAATGTATGTGCTTTTGGAATTAAAATGGCATCTCCAGAGACGGAAGGATTGTGTTGATTCTAGACGTTTAAGTGTGTTACACAATAAAGATTGGGTTTTGGGTTTGGCAATGAACTTTTGAATGTTTATTCAGCTTGTGGAAGATCGTTTGTTGTTGTTGTTGTTTTCGTTCGCAGTGTGTAATATGTATTTGTACTTTTTTCGTTTTCTGTACCAAAGATACGAGCAGTATTGATTTTAATTAGTTTCCTGGATGTCTTAAGTACTCTAAGGTTTGAACTTTCAAGATATCTTAGACTTATATTAATCTGTTTGCTTTGAAAGTAAAAATATAACAAAATTGAAGAAAGTGTGTCTTTAACTACATACGAAGATTTTGAAACAAATTAAAACTTAAAACCTGACTGTCATAGGTTGAATAATTAAGTATAATTTCTATCCTTTATATATATATATATATAATAACTCCATTGAACAAGGAAATCTCATAGGGCAGCGTCATTAAATTTTTTAGGGAATTAATTTCCTAACAAGATAGATACCATAGAATTTGGGCAAGATATAGTTGTTGGAATATCTTGAATTGTTGATGAACCAATTAATCCATTGTGAAATCCCTTAAAGTTTCTCCAATTTAAATTTCTTGAATCACTTGAACTTGTCTTACAACAACTTGACTGGACAAATCCCATCAATTACCTAGCTCCAAAGCTTTGACAGGTTTTCTTGCAGTGGCAATTGTCATTGCGGACCTCCTGTCGCTAAAAAATGCAGCACAAAGGGTGTAACACCGGATGTTACAAATGGATGTAGCAGTTAAGTGAATTGGCTTGGACTTATGATGAGGTTTGGGGATGTAGTGGCTCACCTGTTTTTCATCAGGTCTTGGAGGTTATATAATTTAAAGAAATTAGATGGAATCGTGTTCTGTTAATGTATGACTGATGATAAATGCTTAATTGTATTTCAACAACGAAGATGGCATTGGGGTAAAGGGCATAATATGGCATTTAGCCAACATTTTTTGGCCATTTAACTGATCAATCTAGAAAACCTTGTCCTTAATCCAATGTGTTGCTAGACTGCTAGAAAAGCTTTGTGACTTGTGAGGAATGCAGAGAAGTTTGCCTTAAAAATTTTGACGAGGCCATTATAATCACTATGGGTTATTGATATGGAAAGGTGCATTTTTATAGGCCTTTTATAAATAGGTTCAAAGTAACTCTCCAAGAAACAATCTTGGGTCCTTCGATAAGTAAAATATGTAATACAATATACTACTAAATTTTTATGGGCTAGATTGAAAGCCCAATTTTATGCATACCAAATACCAAATAACAAAGACAAGATTAGAGAAGTCAATTTAAAATCGGTGGACTTTGACGCGATCTAACTTAATATTTTAAGATTGATATTTTTTTTTTTAAATCGAGTGTTGGGTCAAACAATATAAAAAAAATTTTGAAATCAAACCCGACATATATAAAAATTATTTTTTAATTTTATATTTAATTATATATATATTTTTTATATATTTAATTTTATATTTATATTAAAAAAATAATATTTTATTAATTTCAAGTCGAATCAGGTCGAGTACGATTTTATATAATGTTGAGTCTGATCGGATTCGAATACTCAAAAAATCAAAAAAATTATCGGATCAAATCGAGTTCAAATTTTGTATCTATAAAATCGGATAGGATTCGAGATGAATAAAAATCAATCTCAACTTGACCCGTTGTCATCATTAAACAAGATTTTAAAATAAAAAGATCAAATTATACATTAAATAGTATTAAACATATTTATATAATTAATTTTAAAAAATAATATTTAATAATTTTAAATTTTAATACCTAAAACCTCTTCTTTTCTCTTTAAATTACGATATTTTTTGGAAAAAAAAAAAGGAGCATCTGAATAAATTTGAAAATTTAACAACTCTCACTTAAAACTATTGACCAAGCTTTTTTCTTTCGTGAAGTTTGAACTTCGGAAGACTTTCAAAACAAAATTGGATGTTTTAAATGCATTCTCCAAAATACTAGATTGATCGACCTCTAAGGGAACATGACAATCACAATTTTTTGTTTTTTTATTCACAACCAACTTTAAAGCCCTATTATATCACTCATTTCTTGACCAGCTTTTTTTAAACCAGGAACTATAGAAACAGAGGATTCACTGATTAATTACTTGCTTATCTGGTAATTGATGAGATGAACTTGAAACTTGGAAACCTTTTGAGGTAATTGAATGCTCTGCTATAATTTTCCATGACCAAATGCAGAAAATAGTAGATCTACACCAATTTGGCCATCAAACTATAGACTCGGTGTTGCAAAATTCTCAGGCCTGAATTTTTTTTAACAAAAAAAAAAACCCATAATTTGAGATAAAAAAATTACATGTTTTAAAATTTAAACCTCAAATCTATTAAATATATTATTTTTTAAATGTGATTGTATGAATCAATTAAATTAAAATTTTAAAAATATTTGTCAATAATAATTTTGCTTATACATCAATGACTTCATATTAAATTAAATAAATCGAAAGCACTGAAACATTCATGGCCCTGCTTTTGCTATTTATTTATTTATTTTGGCCATTACCATTAATCATGCCACTTTATTGTTTTTTCAATGATAAATTATTTCTTGTTTGACAAATTGTCATTTCAATCCAGAATATCAAATTCATAAGGTTAGTTTCTTGTAAAAAATAGAGGCTTAAGGCTTCAGTTTCTGGAACATGTAAATATATAAGCAGATAGGAAAAAATAACAATTGGTAAAGAAAGGGTTGTTTTGATATAAAGAATTGGAAAATATACACATTCTATAGCATGGAAAGTTTAAATCTCTTCTTGACAGTTAAGACTATACATTAGCAGAAATGCTATAATTTGATTCAAACCAAATAATCCGAAATTGGTACGAGCCACTCATATAAGAAGTTCATCCTTGAAATCTATTTCTAAAAGCGATATCATTCTATTCTTTAATTTAGTTACTATTATTCCTGCCGTTGTGTTTGTTGATCTAACTTCGAACCCAAATTATTTTCGAACTCATGTATAGCAGGATATATACTTGCATAGGAAATTTTCAGCCAAACTCACTTTTTTTTTTTTTTTATGACATCACCGCACAATACACCACATTGCAAGGTAGAAGTAAAGCTTGAATCTAATGTTCTAAATTTCAAAACTGAATCATTGATTCATAAAATTGTTAAAGTTGCATTGCGTAAAGTTTTACCACCCCATTCATTTTCTCTGATTGCTTATGCATGGGGGGATGAATCAAAATTGAACTCTATCGTTTTCACAAATGCATCGAGGAGTAATATTAAAATTTTGGGTTCCATCTGCCTAATCAAAATTTGACTATAGAAAAAAAAAGTAATAATAATAAAATTACACAACAAAAATGTCAAGTTGCAGGGTATCCATAAAGCAAGAATCAACATACATGAATGAAATCGACGTGACAAATTTTAAGTAATTATTATTATTATTGTTGAAGGCTGTTGTATGAAAAGAAGCCAAAACCTCTACATTTTCTATATGCAAAATTTAGATTCATGCACATTTCAAAAGAGTTAAAAAGAGACACGGCCCCTATATCCAATAATTAATTTCTGTTCCTAATGATTTAGTCATTAAAATTGAGATTTTAAATATCCTACCCACATGTTGGTTTATATTAAGATATGATTATTTGAGAATGCTTATAGATTTTCTAGTCAAAAAAGGGGAGATCGAGGCTGCGTAGCTTTTTCTTCGGCAAAAGTTAAATCATACTCTCTCACTAGTGAATAGTGACTAAATGAAAAGGTTTAATTTGGCCCTATTGCAAATTAACAAGTTTTGATTAATTATTTTAGTAGTTAGTAGTTAACAAAACTGAATATTGTCTAAAATCCAAGACACACCCAATTGTGCAATATATATTGGCCAAACTAAAAGATAAATTTTTTTATGTCTTCCTTTTGGAGAGAAAAAGTTACAAGCATGTTTCAAAATTTCAATCATTAGGTATAAAAGTATACATATATAACTTTATGACCAATGGATATGTGAGCAATCAAATATTTGGTCAAAATAATATTAGAGACCAATTAAGAAGTGGCAAATCATCAAATTAAGACAGAATTGTGCTTATACAGAGTTGAATTTGAAAAAATCAAAAGGTAGTAATTGAGTGAAGAGGTAAAACCAACCTAGAAATTCCACCTAGCTGGAAATGACCTCTAAGTTCTACATGCATTAATATTTTCAATTGGAAAAGTTACCATATCAACAAAAATGAATTATGGCAGTTAAATGTTTTGGGTTTTGGGTTTGGCAATGGGCTTTTGAATTTTTATTCTACTTGTGGAAGATCATGTTATAAGTTTCATTATTAAAAAGTGTGCAAAATCCTTTGTAGTGTTGTTGTTACTGTTTTGAGTTCACAATGTATAATATGTATTTGTTTTCTTCTCGTTTTCTGTTCAATAGATCTAAGCAATATTGATTTTAATTAGTTTCCTGAATGTCTTAAGTACTCTGAGGTTTGAACTTTCCAGATATCTTAAGCTTATATTAATCCTTTTGCTTTAAAAGTAAAAATATAATAGAATTGAAAACTACAAATGAAGATTTTGAAACAAATTAAAACTTGAAACCTGACTGTCATTGGTAGAATAATTAAGTATAACTTCTATCCTTTATAAAACCGTAATAATAATAAAAATTATTTACTTTTTAAGAAATTTGCTTATTCTAACCATATATAGTATAATTTGATTTTTTATTTAAAATAAGAAAAAGAAAAAATCTCCATAGAACATGGAAATATCAAAGGGCGACGGTCAATAATTTGTCAGGGAATTAATCTTCTAGAAAGATACCAGAGAATATTGACAACATATAGTTGTAGAAATATCTTGGCTTATCGATGAATCAATTAATCCATTGTGAAATCCCTTCAGATTTCTCCAATTTGAATTTCTTGAATCGCTTGAACTTGTCCTACAACAAGACAGGATAAATCCCATCAAGCACCCGGCTCCAAAGCTTTGACAGGTTTTCTTACAATGGCAATTTTCTTTGCAGACCTCCTATCATTAAAAAATGCAGCACAAAAGGTGTAACAGTACCTAATGTTGCAAATGGAGGTAGCATGCAGTAAGTGAATGGCTTGGACTTGTGATGGCTCACCTGTTTTTCATCAGGTCTTGGAGGTTATATAAGTTTGTGAAATTAGATGGAATAGTGTTATGTTAATGTATAACTGATGATAAATGTTTAATTGTATTTCAACCATGAAGATGGCATTGGGTTAAAGGGCATAATATGGCATTTAGCCAACTTTTTTTGGCCATTTAACTGGTCAATCTAGCAAACCTTGTCCTTAATCCAATGTGTTGCTAGACACCTAGAAAAGCTTTGTGACTTGTGAGGAATGCTGAGAAGTTTGCCTTGAAAATTTTGATGAGGCCATCATAATCACAATGGGTTGTTGATATGGAAAGGTGTATTTTAGTAGGCCTTTCATGAATAGGTGCAAAACAACTCGCCAAGAAACAGTCCTGGGTCCTTTGATATGCAAAATGTGTAATACTAAATTTTGATGGGCTAGATTGAAAGCCCAATTTTATGCATACCAAATAACAATGACATGATTTTAGAATGAAAGAATCAAATTATACACTAAACAGTACTAAAAATATTTAAATAATCACTTTAAAAAAATAATATTTAATAAATTTAAATTTTAAATTTTAATACCTAAAACCTCTTCTTTTCTCTTTAAATTATGATTTTTGTTTAAAAAAAAATAGGAGTATTCGATTAAATTTGAAAATTTAAGAACTCTCACTTAAAACTTTTGACCAAGCTTTTTTCTTTTGTGAAGTTTGAACTTCCAAAGACTTTCAAAACAAATTTGGATGTTTTAAATGCATTCTCCAAAATACTAGATTGATCAACCTCTAAGGGAACATCACAATCATAATTTTTATTTTTTTATTCACAACCCACTTTAAAGCCCTATCATATTACTCATTTCTTGACCAGCTTTTTTGAAACCAGAAACTATAGAAACAGAAGATTTACTAATTAATTGCTTTCTTATCAGGTAATCGATGGTTGAACTTGAAACTTGGAAACCTTTTGAGGTAATTGAATGCTGTGCTATAATTTTCCAAGACCAAATGCAGAAAATAGTAGATCTACACCAATTTAGCCATCAAACTATAGACTAGGTGTTGCAAAATACTCAGGCCTGAATTTTTTTTTTAACAAAAGAAACCGTAATTTGGGATAAAAGAAAAGATTGCATGTGTTAAATTTGGAATCTCAAATATGTTGAAGATGTTATTTTTTAAGAATGATTGTATAAATCAATTGAATTATATTTCAATTTCAGACTTAAAAAATATTTGTTAATAATAATTTTACATATACATCAATGATTTGATATTAAATTAAATAAATAGAAAGCACCGAATCATTCATGGCCTTATTTTTGTTAATTTATTTATTTTTTTGGAAATTACCAATCATGCCACTTTATTGTTTTTTCAATGATAAATTATTCCTTGTTTGACAAATTATCATTTCAATCCAGAATATTAAATTCATAAGGTTAGTTTCTCCTAAAAATGAAGGCTTAAGGCTTCAGTTTCTGGAAACTCTAACATGGAAACATATAACCGGATAGTCAAAAATAATAATTGATAAAGAAAGGGTTGTTTTGATATAAAGAATTGGAAAATATACACATTCTATAGCATGGAAAGTTTAAATCGTCCCCAAGCCTTTGGCTTAGTAGCTAAAGGGGTTTGAGGAAACATTAAGAGTCTGATTTCGAGCCAGGTTCCCTCCTCCTCCTTACTTGTACTAAAGCTTTGCCCTCTTAATATAACCAAAAAAAAATATATGAAAGTTTAAATCTCTTCTTGAAAGTTAAGATTATATGTTAGTAGATATGCTATAATTCGATTCAAACCAAATAATCCAAAATAAGTCTGAACAGCTCATATAAAAAGTTCATCTTTAAAATCTATTCCTAAAATTGACGTTGTTTTATTCTTTAATTTAGTTAAAATTATTCTTGCCATTGTGTTTATTGACCCAACTTTGAACCCAAATTATTTTTGTATAGAAGGATATACACTTGCATATGAAATTTGCAGCCAACTCACTTTTTTTAGTTTTATGACATCACCCTTTGCACAATACACCACATTGCAAGCGAGAAGTAAAGCTTGAATCTAATGTTCTAAATTTCAAAATTGAATCATTGATTCATAAAATTGTTAAAGTTGCATTGCATAAAGTCTTGCCACCCCATTCATTTTCTCTGATTGCTTATGCATGGGGGGGGGGGATGAATCAAAATTGAACTCTATCGTTTTCGCACATGCAGCTTTGGTTGAAGAGCAATATTAGAATTTTGGGTTCCATCTGCCTAATCAAATTTTGACTATAGCATAAAAAAAAAAGTAATAATAATAAAATTACACAACAAATACGCCAAGTTGCAGGGTATCATAAAGAAAGAATCAACTTACATGAATGAAATCAACGTGACAAGTTTTAAGTAATTATTGTTATTATTATTGAAGGCTGTTGTATAAAAAGAAGCCAAAACCTCTAACTTTTCTATATACAAAATTTAGATTCATGCACATTGAAAAGAGTTAAAAAGAGACACGGCCCCTATATCCAATAATTAATTTCTGTTCGTAATGATTTAGTCATTAAAATTGAGATTTTCTTACACTCTAATTAAACTTCCTGCCCACAGGTTGGTTTAGATTAAGATATGATTATTTGAGAATGCTTATAGATTTTCTAGTCAAAAAGGGGAGAGGCTGCATAGCTTTTTCTTCATCAAAAGTTAAATCATACTGTCTCATTATTGAGTAGTGACTAAATGAAAAGGTTAATTTGGCCCTAATGCAAATTAACAAGTTTTGATTAATTATTTTAGTAGTTAACAAAACTGATAACATGCCAACAGTCGTATGATTTTTCTTAATTGATTACATAATGTCATGTCTTGATTTTGATGTTTTATAGATTAAAAGAGTAGTGATATTTTTATGATATATAGAAAAATTTTATAAATTAATAATAAAGAGTGGGTTATAAAATGTAGAGGCTGAAATTGCATTGACTGGATGAAAATCTCCTTGCAAGGAGCCCTTTGAATATTGTCTAAAATCCAAGACACACCCACTCGAGCAATATATATTGGTCAAACTAAAAGATAAATTTTTTTATGTCTTCCTTTTGGAGAGAAAAAGTTACAAGCATGTCTCAAAATTTCAATCATTAGGTATAAAAATATACATATATAACTTTATGACCAATGGGATACGTGGGCAATCAAATATTTGGTCAAAATAATATTAGAGACCAATTAAGAAGTGACAGATCATCAAATTAAGACAGAATTATGGTTATACAGAGTGTGAAATTGAAAAAATCAAAAGGTAGTAATTGAGTGAAGAGGTAAAACCAACCAGAAATTCCACCAAGCTAGAAATGACCGCTAACTTCTGCATGCATTAATATTTTCAATTGAAAAAGTTACTATAATTAACAAAGATAAATTATGTCAGTCATCGATGATTTATAGTGTATTATTTCAAAATAATTAACCAAAAAAATTTTATGAAATGTTTATTTAGCATTAACACATTTTCTTTTCAATTAAAATCATATTATGTGCAAGATAATATTTTTAAAAAAATCAATATTTATTTTTCACGTTAATTAATCAAAGTTGTATTATTTTCTTTTAGGATTTTAATTACTAATAACAGGCTATAGGCAGGTTATAAGTGTGAAATCATCAAGGTGATGTCAGATTAAATTTTAACCTGTTCTGGGCCGCCATGCCCCACGGGTATTCCCTTTGACTCACGTGCATCAACGTCTATTGTGGGTTCCATTAACGACCAAATAATGATGTTTGACGCTTATATTTTGATCATGCATTTTACCCTCTTTCCATCTCTTCTTAAATTTCTACAAATTTTTTTCGTTTTTTTTTTTTTTTTTGAATAATGTAGCCGTTCCCTCCCTGGCATGTAATTCCTATATATAGCCCTAGTCTTCAAAATTCATTTCCTATGAACAAAGAGCTTGTTCGAAGAGAATAAGATCGAAGAATTACTTCCATATAACTAGAATTGCTTGATTTTCATACATGGATCCTTCATTTTTTCAATACCCAAATCTCCAATTCTCTTCTGAATCCTCTTCTTATATTTCTCAGGAAAACTTGTCACCAGAGTCATTCAATTATCTCAATAACCAAGCCCTTCCTTTCAATGAAAATGACTCCCAAGAAATGCTTCTTTGGGGAGTCCTAAACCAAGCCCCGGTGAACAGCTCCTTCGATGATCATGAAGTGACCTCAAAAGCCAATGAAGAGGAGACAGGAAAGGAGGTTTCATATAGAGGAGTGAGGAAGAGGCCATGGGGCAAATATGCAGCTGAAATAAGGGATTCCACAAGGAACGGTGTTAGGGTTTGGCTTGGAACCTTTGATACAGCTGAGGCTGCAGCTTTAGCCTATGATCAAGCTGCACTGGCAATGCGAGGTCCAATGGCTATACTCAATTTTCCAATGGATAAAGTTTATGAATCACTTCAAGAAATGAACTACGGATTTGAAGAAGGTTGTTCACCTGTTTTGACAATGAAGAAGAGGTACTCGATGAAGGGCAAACGATCAGGGAGCAAGAAGATCAAGAAAGAGAAGGAAATGGGAATGGAAAATATCCTGGTGTTTGAGGATTTAGGAGCTGATTATTTGGAGGAACTTCTAACTATATCTGAGAGTGCAACTCCTTATTGGTGAATAATTTCATCTATATTTTCCTCTCTTTTTTTTTTTCTTCCATTTTCTCTCCTCTTTTTGTTTCTTCTCCTTCTCCATTGAGATTAGTGAAGAAGGACCAATTTTTTGTTGGATATTGTCTTTGAATTTGTAAATCTGCAAGACGACGTAGAATCAAAGCTTTGTGCTATGCATAATTTTAGTCTACTTACAAACTAGTTGAATTTTCAATATATTGGCTAAATATTACAAATTTTCATTCTTCTATATATTTGGTAAACTTTTCCAGTTAATTATTTGAATCAGAACGGGTTACTATCAAGAGTACCACATTTTTTTAATAGGAATATCACATTAATCATAAATTAGTAGTAATTTCGTTTTATTTTCTACTAAAAAGGATGCTTAAAAATGACTGGTCTTGCGTTAATTTGTATTCTCTTCTCTTCAGTTTTTTTTTTTTTTTTGGGGTATCGTTTCAATTTTCAAAATCTATAAGATTTCTGTTCACATCTCACATCATTCCTATCAGTTGAGTTATTCAATTTTCTTTTCAATTCAACAATTATTTTCTTTTCGTTTCAATGAAAGAAGCTTTTCCTTCAGCAGCATGTGCCATTGCCAAGGAAATTTGGCCACGATTTTGAATTTGATGAAGTTCTATTTGATCCAGGTAAGGACAAGAAAGCGGCAGCGCGATATTATTTCCTGATCAGTTTTGTCACATGATTGTCATTGAAAGGACATAAATATAAATATAAATATATATATATTATATGATTATCTCCTATATATGTCTTAGTTGGAAGGATCCAAAATTTAATTGAGATAAAGACATATGGTTGTCGAAATTGTTACATTTATTTTGGAACAGCTTTTGCCCTGAAAGAAATTGACATTATTATAATTTGAGAAAATGTTTTGTGGTTTTTGTTCTTTTAATTTGAAAATCATTTCTTTCATGATTGGATTTTGATTTTGTTAGCTACTAACTCTTGTTTCCTTGAACTTTTTTAAGGATAACATTACATTGAAAATATAGTTCAAGTTTAATATAGATTCACTCTCAGAGCACAAAGATTTTGAGTTTGATATCTTAGGGTTTTTTTTTTTGGTAAATAAATTGCTTTATGAAATTTAAAACCCTTGAAGATCGAACCTCAGTTTTATTAGAATCCAACTCTTGAAAGAATTGTGTGAATCATTTAAGTCAAGCCCTAAATTCTGCATAATTGTTTAATATTATACATTAACGTAAGTTAATGTTGATGTACCCAAAAAAAAAAAAAAACATAAGTTGATTTTGTGAAACAAGGAAAGAAAAATGACTATGTTAGTTCAATCACTCGGTTAGGTTTCTTAGCAAGAAAAACCTTTGCTAATTCTTATTTTTTTTTCTTTTTGCCACCATTTCTAATTGTTTGATCCATCGAAATATTAATTGAATTTTGTAGATGAATTGGAAATTAGAAGCCAATTTTCCCAAATCAATCATTTTTTTTCTATGTCGATCAAGATTTTGTTAGAAAATTCCGGGTACCCAAATCAATTATGAATGTAGAAATTTTATTTTTTTATAAGGGATTGCAATCTGAAAGAATTAGAAAAGGAAAAATTGTAAATAGGATATTGAATTTCAATGTTAAAAAAATTTTCTTTTAAAAAGAAATGAATAAATCATTTAAACTAAATCCAAAATTCAAATTTAAAAAATTATGCCTAAAAATCTTTCCGGTAATACAGTACTGTTGTGAAAAGAATCGCTACTTGCAGAAGTTTTATTGATAGTCATTTTCTCGTATTAATTAAATTTTAAGCCTTGTAAAGTTTGTTAAAACTTGTGGCCCTTGTTTTTCTGGCAATCAAATCGTTCCATTTGAAATAATTCAATGGATGAGTTTGTTTTCTCATAGTCATAAAATGCGATTGGATTAATTATTATTTCCAATAAAGTTAATATTTTCCTCCTACTTTTTTTTTTTGTCATTTTGCCGTCCAACGAATGCTTCATAGATTCTACATGTTCTAGTTTCTTCAATAAACTGTATGATTATCGAGAATGTTCCTTCCAATTGAAAAATTAAATTTGATGTTTTCTTTGTTTCAACAAAAATTTTCAGATCATTAAAATTCAACATCATTTACGTTGATCAGGAATTGTTGGATGCTGTTTTCTCTATATAATTTTTTTCCCTCAACTTTGAATCTATAGTATAAGTGCAAACATCGTTCTATCTTATTTTTTTAAAATTAAATCTAACATAAATAATTTTTTTTTATCGATTCAAAAAAATATATATTAAGAATGCTTTTTTTTTTTAGAATTCAAATTGTTTTAAAATTTTAATTATAGGTATTTATTTTTCACATTTAATTTAAAAATTTTTTATTTAAAAAAAATTAAATTCTCAATAATATCAAAATTTTCAAAATTAAAAATTCACTTCTCTTCTATGATATTTTAAGATTTTAAAAAAATTTATTTGATGTTTAAATTTAATTTAAATAAAAAATTAGTCCCATCTACATTATCTTTTTTAAAAGCAGGTTTGAAACTCAATTTTATTTTTTTTTAATTCAATTATGTTTTTTTTTTTTAAATAAAACGTCGTAATTGGCACCCTAGTTGATGATCAAAATTTCATGGGAAGAGAATTGGTCAGTTGAAGCAGTCTTCAATTATTTTGAGCCACAAATACCAAGCATGCATGTAGAGGATGTAGTTCGTTCTTGACCTTCAAACATTTGGTCTTGAAGATGATTGGAAAATTAGTCAAGGAAGACAGCCAAAGCAGTAACAATTGTCTTCTTCTTCTATCAAATACAAAAAGACGAACGCACTCATCGGCTCATCATGAAAGGTGCATGAATTTTTTTTTTTATACGAAACAATAAACTTGAATGTACTTTTTTTTTGTTTTAATTAAATCTCATGTAAATAAATTTATTTTGATTTTATTTAATTAAATCTCATGCAAATGACTTACGTTCACCAGTATGTACGGAAAGTAATTAAAAGAATATTTGATTAATTAAATATTCCTCAAAGAAAATTATATTTAAGCACCCAATTAACTCTCCGAAACTTTTGACCAAATTATTTTTTGTGAACTTTTCAAACTTCCAAAGACTTTCAAACGTTTTCTCGATGTTTGATTAATATCGCCAAAGTGCTTGATTGAACCACTTAAAGGCTCAAGGCGATGGCACCATCACATCTTCCCTATTATTTTATTGGTCCAAAACATCCCCACTTTAATGGCTCAACATTATAAAATTTATTTCTTGACTAGATTGTGGGAACATGACCTTAAGCATTCACTCACTTTGCTTATTACTCCATGCTAAGTATCATTAGTCTTGGTAACTATATCATAGAAAGATTTCATAATTAAAATCCTTATTTTTTTTATATAAAAGATATTGTAATATGAGAATAAAAAAAATAAATTACAATTACTAAAATTTAAATATTAAATTTGCTGAATATGATCTTATAAAAATAAATATATAAATCAAATGAATTAAATTTTAAGTTCAATTAAAATCTAATTTAAACGTTAGAAAACTTAATTTGAAGATTAAAAATCAGGTTAATGATAATTTAAAAAAAATATATATTCACTTGTTAATTTGATTGAATCTGTAAAATTTAATTAAATTTTGAGTTTTAATATCCTTATTCTATAGTCAAAGTTTTACATGCCTAAATTATTTGTATTTGAATATAATATTTATGGATTGATATCTCTTTATTTTTTTTTATTATTTTTTCCTCCTCCAAAAGGATTATATTTGTAATTGCCCTTCAATGATGAATTATGAATGGTATAACAAATAGTGTTTGACGGCTCGATATTTTCGACTTTCTTTGCACGTTTTCAACCGTTAACAATCATATAAATTCTTGATTAAATTATTTTCGATAAAAAGGTATAATGTAACCTTTTTCGTAGAAAAATTATACTGCGATTGTTTCATCAAAACTTTAATTGATCGGACGATGAAATTTTGAACAACAAATCCCTAAAATATGACCATAATTAAATTTTTATTTTTATTTTTATTTTAAACAAGACCGATTACTTTCATTCAAACTTGTGGTTATTTTATGCAATGAAAAGTTATAATAAAATAATCTTTTATGAATTTATTGAAATTAAGGGAAATAATTTTGTTTAATTTAAAATAGATTTAAAATATAAAATACTATACAATAATATAACACAAATAAGATACAAAAATAGAATATGAATGTGTTACAACTTAAAATTATAGCAATAATTGTATATGAATTTAATAAAATAAAAAAATTTATATTTTATATTTTTATATCAATACGAATTATAATACATAATTTTTATGTAAAATATAGTATGAATATACAAATTTTACTATTTTACTTGATACAAATACACAAATCTATTATGCATAAAGCCTCCAATCAATCAAGCAAGTAGAAGCAAAGCTAAATGATTAATTAACTACATAAGAGATAACAATTTAATGTGATTTAGCCAACGACCTACGTCCATGGATGAGAAAAAAATTTATTAATTGTAAAAAATTACAAACAAACATCATATCAAACACTTATAACCAATACCCATAGACATTCTCAATCTCTTCTAGTCTTATGGAGTATTCTCAACTTAAAGAAACACATATCCATGTGTACTTTTTCAACATAAATAAATACATACCCATATACACCCATGCATCATACCCATATGGACCCTCTCAATCTTCTCTAGTAGATTCACAAATATTTAAACATACACACCCATAAGACGTAAATCTTCAGTAGTCTTATAGGATGTCTATCCTATAAAATCATAAAACTCTCTTACATCTTTTTCTCATATCTAATCCTGTAAAGACTTTACCTATTTATAAACATACAAACTTGCCTATTAAAAATCTATTTTCTCTTAGAATTCTTTTTTTATAAGTCAAACTTGTCTATTAAGAATCACTTTCCTCTTAAAATTCTTTTTCTGCAAGTCTTCTTGTCCATCAAGCAATATCTAACCAATTTCAAATAACTCTCTTATGAGATTTAAGTCACTATTCTCAATAATATTCATCTTGACTCAAATTTCATTAAATTATCTGCTTTTATGCTAAACATGCTTGGCTACACCTGTAATGAAAGTCTTGTAACAATCATCTTCTCTTGTGTGTATTTAAGCCTAATGCAAATCAATCCTCAATCCTTAAAATATTAGCTTAAACTTTTCCTTGAATTGAGCTCTTCTGGGCTTGCCTTTCCTAT